CCTTAACAACAGTTGAGTAATGACGCTAAAATCGTTCGGCTGAGTCGTTCAACCTGTTCATTTAGGCGTGGCGTCGCAACGACGTTTTTCACGTGTCAGATTTGATTTTGGTAACAAAATCTGCGTTACTGACCCGATGTAAATGCGGTACTTTGATCCGAAATGATTACCTTAGGTGTTCCGTACGTGGCGAATATGTCTTTAAAGTACTCTACGACAAGTTTATTTTTTGTCGACTTCACTACACGTAGGAATACAAATTTGGTAAGCGCATCGATTCCGGGAAGTATATACAGATTTCCTCTTCGGGACTTTGGAAACCGAGATGGTCGATGTGGAAGGTGTTTAGCTGTTCCGCGCTTTTTTTAATTGGATGTAGAAAACCTTCTTTCTTCCCTGACATACGCTTGTTGTATATATGCATGGTATACAACATGAAATGTATTGCTCAACGTACTTCCTCAGTCTGGGAGACCAACAATGTTACGATATTCGATATAGTGTCTAATCATCGTGGATGGCCCGAACCATATGGTGTCGCATGCCCCTCGGAACGACCCACTGGATTCCACTCGCGGTTATGCGATATATTTGCCCGTGTCTTAGTGTATAGTTCTTGTATACTTCTTTCTCTTCGTCGCCTTCTGGAGGTTTAGTCAAAATGTGGTGGATGCACTGAATACCCAATCAGCCTTTCCGTATTCTTCCCTTTTTCCGGATTTCTGCTGAAATTTCTGCCCGTCAGTAAGTAGCGGTACTTTTGTTGCACATAATCAGATAGGTACAATAGGTACAACATACATTTTTGTTTGTTGTTCCACCTGATTAACGGATCCGATCGTCATAGTGATGTCGTCACCGCACCCGCGGAGTGTCACAGAATCCTCTTTGTTTGGTTCTAATCCCAAACGTAGCTGCTCTTCAGCGAGTTTAATTAAAGTGGACGAGCTAACCATATCAATATACGCCATTGCGGGTTTGCCGTCTACTAAAATTTGTTTATAAAATTTTGAGTCTTGAGGATCGGTTTTTGCGTTGGATAGTCATGCGACAGGTTTCGATTTTTGGTTGTCGTACCTCTTCTTTTGAAAGCATCGGGACTCCAAATGACCCGTTTTGCGACAGTATATGCATCGTTCTACGTCTGTCGTTTCCTGTACCTTTCGGTTCCAACAATGTTTAGGGTAATGCGCGCTTTTCCCACAATTGTAGCAATTGACTACCGAATTTTCCGCTGATCAATGACTAGTCGGGACGGATATCTTTGGTCTTTTGTGGGGGTTCGAGTAACTCTTTAATGTCGACGGTCGTTGTGACGCAGGCAAGCCGTTTATCGTCGACAAGTACTGAAACAGCGACTCCGGTGTTTGTTGGTTACCTGTTGTCGCCCCTGACTTAGTGACTACGTCATCGATGCCCCCAATAATACATGACACCGCATCTGATTCAACGATATTACATCCGAGTGCTTTGAAATCTTGGAGATGTTTTAAATTTATCATAAGCATGGTAAATTTTTGATCAAATGTATTTGCTCGTCCCCCCTAAAAAATTGATGACGCCACCCCAAAATTTTGCTGAATAAATCCTACCTAAAATGTACAAGATATGATGAGTTTCTTCTTGTGATTTATCATTCTAGTCATATTTTTTGGATTTGCATATACAGGGTGACCCAAAAAAATTAATGAGTGTGTAAATGTATTTTATTGATTTAATCTGGAACTACAGAACCAAATGTTTTGAAATCTACTCCAAAAAAACATAACAGGCATGCAGTCGTCACGTTTCCGACAGCGAGGGAAGTACTGTCTAAACTCTTTAGACAAATTTTTTTAGATAAATAAACATGCATATGAAAAATAAGCAGAAAAGCAGTCGGACGGTCCAAGCTTAGCGTTTTAATGAGGTTCCCTCGTCGCGAGAGTGTAATACCAAATGCGGGTGATCTCCGAATCGGCGATTTCGGTGTCTCTCGAAATATAAAATCTCCAAAATCTAGTTCCCGGTGTGATGATATCCCGATAAAAGGCGCAAAGAAAATTCCCCATCCTACAGTTCACGATATTATTAATTCTACTAATGTGGCTGGCATGTGTTTTCGTTCAAACTTTCATATGCTCAAATTGCATTTATATTTACTTTATGTTTCAATGAGCAAGTTACGTTATGCAAATAATATCTCGAGAATAACCATCCACAAACTATCGACATTAAAATCTAAAATAAATATGCCCTAAGGAAACCGCATTTCCTAAAGGTCCTACTATTAGAAATTGAACTTAAAATTAACGATTTAAACGAAAACCTTTTGAAAAAGTTCAAACCACGTGGTCACCAAGCGTTCGTCCGTGTTTCCGCTCAGGGCTTCCTGGAGCTTTCATATTTATAATTCTCGGGGATGATGGCGGCCCTTCTTAAGCAAGTACGCGACCAGCCCGCAAAGTATAAGCAACAAAAAAAACATACCAGAACAATCGTAACATAGACTAGCACAAGAACACTAAAAAAACACATCTTGATGGCTTCTAAGGCGAAACGATAATGCACAAACATTAGGTGGTTTGTGCGATAATGGACGATTTCGCGTCTCCCTTCTACTCAGGCCGCTTTCTTCTCTACCGTAGTGACAACCTAACCCTAACCAATCCTAAAGCATAACATCCCCTAAATTAATAATTCCCGCGTCCTCCAAAACCTGTATGTGTGGTTGTTTGCCTAAATTTTAGGAGACTTCTTAACCTATTATTTAAATTCAAATTATTTAAATGCAATTTCGCTGCGTTGTTCTTAATTTCTTTGTGGGCCATTTAAATTTGAATCGAGTTACTACAATACCAACGGTTAGGTAATAGCACTTTCCCTAAATCTTGCGCCTACTCTCTGTTCTCCTAAATTCGCTTCTTTCAATCTAGCTTAATGTTTATGTTTGTCGCCATTTATTATTCTCTCTCATCATCGCCTCGTTCCGTCTTGTTTAAACTTGTGTGGCGGCACAATAACACGTCGGTAAGCAGAGAAAGATGGTCTCGTGGTCTAGTGGTTAGGATGCTTGCCCGGAGAGCGAGAGGCGTGGGGTTCGAATCCCACCGAGACACAACATTTTTCTCTGCTTAACTACACTTGTATTATATTTGCATTCCGTCGGAACAGTAGGGTGCCTCAGCACGTTAGACCTACAAGTCGTGCTCGAAAGTAGTAACAAGACAGTCTACGAATGGCACTTCTGCTTCATTTTAATAATCAATGAACAAATTTAAAACCTGGGGTTCCAGACACACCACTACTACCATATCTGGTCGACCTCATTATAGGTATTATTATGTCCAAAAATAAACACAGGACGCCTACGACGAACATTTCAACAGTTACATTTTACGCTTTTCGCCAATCGTTAGAAATATCTCACTGGGTGTACGGAAATTCAGTATTTGGGACACCAAATTTACTAGAAGGGATTACTCTTCGCTGACGTAAAAATTCCAGTAATCACTTGGAATTAGCCACCGACAAACCTGAAGCAAGTGCAGACGTTGCAAACCTACTCCTGGTCCAGAAGGATTATTGACCAGTTCCCTGCCATTTCGAAACTACTAAGCCAACTAAGATGGACATCCCTTGGGAATGAGACCCTGCACAAGATGAAGTCTTCAACGAGTTGAACAAAAAATTAACCACGATTCGTATGCTCCAGCCAGTCGCAGACCAACAAACTGATCCGCAGAGATTTGCAGCTCTCTTCCAAGGGAGCGTTCCTTAGAGCGTTTGGTAGAATATGCAAGATCATTAACCGTCTTATAAAGTCACTTCGATCACCTGTTGGAAGTTTTTCTCTCTATATATTATGTACCATGAATGTAGAATGACAGGAGGGAGCACGCACCATTGTACCCATGTTAAAAGATTTGCCGGCAAAAGAAAGCCATTTATGACCCTTTCCGTACTACATCGGCAGCGGACGGACAGAAGTTCAAAGACGGTGCCGTTTGATTTAAAATAGGTAGCTACATAGCGTGGAGGTAGAATGAGAGGAGGAAAGATAATTTGAAAAAGTGCCGGGGTAGCGGGCTTGCGATTGGGGTCACAACAACAAAGGGCTTTTCCTCCGAGAAATTGGTTGTTTCAGTGGCGTGCTCGAGAGCGCGATACCAGGCATTTTTTCAAACTCTTTCTTCCTCTCATTCACCCTCCATGATCTATAAATAATTAAACACTAAATAGACACTTGTTAAGACGTGGTATGTTATGCAACCCACAGTACACTACGTTACTTTTATTAGATACACAGGTTACATACCCGGCAACAGTTATACCACAGCATAGATAACAATCAGTAGGGACGGCTCGCCGTTTTTCGTGACCCGTTTTCGTTGGTGGTCGTTCGCTTTATGACCGAATGAGGGCGCCCAACTGAAGTCTAAAATATTTGAAATTTGGCAGTTTTGTTACAATATTTTTGCCGGTTTTGCTTGTTTAAGACTGCTTTACCAGTAGAATTGTACAAATCACGACCTGCTGCATTAGATACGGCCTGTTCATAACTGTAGTTCCACTGTATCCTCCGATTTTAGTGAGGGCGCTAGCGGATGGGCGCATTTTAGGAATTTTTATTATTTTATGTTGGTTGGATGGTACTCACTGTTTTTTGGTGTCAAATCTGACATTCAAATTAAAATTCTCTTGAGAATCTTTAAGTGCGCTGAAAGTAGTTATTTGTGAAGTCCATTTGTTATTGTTCGTTGTTTTTCTTTTTGATTTGCAGTTTTCGTTCCTTTTTTATTTGTTTTGTGGTGTTTCGTTCCCATTTTGTCGTTTCAACTCGTTTAGTGTTTCGTTATTATTTCATAGTTTAATTAGTGTTTGTTTTTTGTTGTTTTGTTCCTATTTGGTCGTTTAACTTCAGTTAGTGGTTCGTTATTATTACATAGTTTAAGTTGTTACGTTAATTTTACTGGGACGAAAATGCGGTTCCACAAAAAATGCATTGTGCCCCAGTGCCCTGCCAAGTACTCAAAGTCTTTCCATCAGTTTCCCTCTGAGCCCCTCTTAAGAGAAAAATGGCTACATAAAGTAGAGAAGTTTTGTTGTAAGAAAAGGTTATTGAACACTTATTTTTTTAATACTAAATATTAATTATTATAGCTCCAACGCAGCAGATCGTCAGTCAGTACTCAACCATTTGCAATTTGCACTTTAAACCCACAGATTTTAAGTTTGCAGCAAATGGTAGTAAACGCTTGCAAAAAAATGCAGTTCCAACAGTTTTTCATGTATATTTATTTACATTTTAAACTTAACAGAAATAAAATTATAGTTTTTATAGGGTGATGATGCTTATTACGCATCCCTACACGAATCCTTCGTTGCTCTTGCCCAGTCTTCTACTCCTATAAATATGAAGCCCTCATCATCCGTTATTCCTGTAATTACAATCCTTACAACTGTGAAAATATAAGCGAACAGTACATTAATAACGTAATTTAAAGTCAGGAGTAAAATTATTTTTCAGTTCCTACCTATTTTCACACTTTTTTTAGAACTTTCCTCTAATAATTATTTATTTTAGAGTACTGTTACTCCAAGATTATCTCCTCCCTCCCAATCAACATCCACGTGTCCAACATCGACAGAAGAACCTCCAGTAATATTTTATTGGCAGTTAATAAATTTTAATTATATTTTTTTAAATTGTAGAATCCTGATTTAAGTCACTCAACAATTCCTTCTGAACCTGAGTCCTTATATAATGAATCCCAAACATTAAGTTCCAATACTGATCTTCGTCTTGATGATATATCAAAACTTAAACTTGAAATCAAAAAACTGAAAATGAAAGTAAACCGTTTGGACAAACAGAACAAACTGAAAAATCAACAGCTACAAAAACTGCAATTAAAAATTGACAATCAAACGAATCAAGCCCGTATATTCGAAAAAATTAAAGCTGATGCTAAGAATAACGACCCAAAAGCCACATTTCTATTAGACCAAATATTAAATTACAACAAACAAAAATCTAGATGGTCAGAAGTAACTGTAAGATCATGTATTGCCTGGAGGATTTCATCCCCAAAGGGATACAACTATGGTAAAGCTTCTATATTGAAATTACCTAGTCGAAGTACTTTAGAACGGTATATAGGAAATGGACAAGATGTTACAGGACTTATAGAGGCACGCTTGAAAGCAGAAGCCGAAGTGCTACAACCCGTTGAAAGGATTTGTAGTTTAATTGTTGACGACATGTCCATCAAGGAAAAACTGTGTTACAGCCGTACAGAAGACAAATTCTATGGGTTAGAGACTACCAATGAGAGTAGTCAAACAATTGGAAAAAAACCAACGTTGGCCAACAAAATGTTATGTTACGTTGTTCACGGCATGACTACTAAGTACACGATACCCGCCGGATATTTCTTCCATCGAACTCTAAAAAACATAGATTTTGTGAATTTGACGTTAAAAGTAATGAAACTTTTACATAATTGCGGATTTACGGTTTTAAGAATTGTGACAGATAACCATAAGTCAAATGTGGCCCTTTTCAAATCTCTGTCATCAAGTAATAATTTAATGACTCATATTCAACATCCAATAGAACCAACAATACCATTATTTATGAGCTTTGATTACTGTCATATTATTAAAAATTTGAGGAACATATTTTTGGACCATGACATGCATTCTGGTAACGGTATTATTTCTGCACGATTTTTAAAGAAAATATATGATATGCAACACAAATTAATTGTTAAACCGGTAAAGTTTTTGACCAGGAAGCATATTTGCCCAACCAATTTAGAAAAGATGAACGTCCGTCGTGCTGTGCAAGTATTTTCCATAGAAGTAAGAGCAGCAATAGAGTATTTGGGAAAATATAACAATCCAGGTTTTGTTGATGTTGAAGAGACTCTAAAGTTTATGGAAATGATGCACACATTTTTTAAAATTCATGATGTCAATGACAAAACTCAGCACATCCGGCAAGTAAATGAAAATAGTGCTCCATATACAGATATTAATGATGAACGCCTTCTATGGATGTTAAAAACTTTACCTGCTTTTATAGATTCCATTCAATTATGTTCAAAGGCAAATAAAATGACGGGATTGACTAAAGAGACTGCAGAAGCAGTAAAATTCACTGCCAAAAGCACTGCAGAATGTATCAAGTATTTACTTGAAGAGAGTGGCTTTTTCTATGTCTTGACGCGAGCATTTAGCTCAGATGCAGTTGAATCGATGTTTAGCAATGTCAGATTATGCGGTGGTTCTCAGGACGCTACTGATGCCAGGGCTGCACACTATGCTATTAAACAAATAATTAAGTCAGGTTTAGTAACAACTTCCGAATCAGCAAATGTATATTCACACTGTAATCACCTGAGTAAAATTGGTCAAATTCAGTCTTCTAAAAGATCTACAACAGAAACAAATATACATATACCTGACAGTATAATTGAAGAAATTAGTGACCTTCATAAATTAACATTCGTTAATACCATTTTCACAGATATCAACTCTGCATCAGTTGCGTTTTTATCTGGATATATTTGTAGAACAATTGAAGAAAGGTTAGAATGCAAAAATTGTTTAGATTCATTACTAACCACCGCAAAATCTACCCCGTTGCTTGACTTGATATATCTGCAAGACAGAGGAAAATTAAAATATCCCACAAGATCATTCACAAATTTTATAAATAAAATTATAAAAATTACATTTGATATTTTGGAACATATACCAGTAAATCATCATCCAAGAACTGTGGTGGAGTCTTTGTTATTGGAGCCAATTGCCAGTTCAGCTTTTTTGCCTTGTGAAGATAAAAACCACAAAGTAATGGTTGCAAACTTAATGTTATCTAAAGTGTTGAAACCAATTTTTGCAAATTTTGGTTATACAAGAACTGAAAATGTTACATTGTTTAGTAATTTGACCCATAAACCCCATTCAAGAAAAGTATTAAAATTATAAACATACCTGTCTGTTTTTTTATATTCTTCCAGCGCTAATTAGGGTGAAATTTTACAAAAGGCACTTCTCGATTTCGCACAAACTGTTTGGTTACAATTCTTCTACACCACCCCCTAATCACGTTCCTTACCTTCAAATGTTTCCTTTTGCTACAAAAAAAAATGTTAAATTTCCCAATTCATACACTCTTTAACGGGAAAAGCTGTTTCCAATATAACCTAACTTTTTATAGTCACCAACACGCGAGGAGTAATGTCGGGAACACAAGAAAACAGTTGTACAACTTTTGAAGGTGAGGAACGTGAACAGGGGGTGATGTAGAATTCCTTTCGGGAAACAGTTAATGGGAAATCGAGAAGTGCCTTTTGCAAAATTTCACCTTTGCTAGTCCTTTTTGTTGTAATTTTCAACCATTTAGCACCATAGAGAGGATACGATGTATGATTCAACGTTTAACCGTTTAATAAATTGTTCAAAACATTTAACCTAACCCGATTTAACCTATTTATAAACCTTCAAATTTGAAGTTTGTTTGAAAATTGTCAAGGTCAAAAGCGCCCCTCCAGTGCTGCCCTCACGCCCTTGCGGCAAAATTTTTTCAATGCATTTTTGTGGAAATGAACAGGCAGGATATAATACAGCCGGCAGTGGTACAAATAGTATAAAAATGTAATTTTCACAATAAAAGGTAAAATCTTCGTCCGATGAATTTTCATACAGGATCCTTGTTGTGCGCCTGCCTTATTCTCTCCCTCGTGTTTGGAATTCTTGGAAAAGATAGTAAACATAACACACTTTTTGTTTAAAAAGTCGTCGCAAACGAACAACAACGGTGGTTATGAAATAAATATAAAAAATTTATTATATATGATTCCGTTGTTGTGGTAAAATTTAATATAAAAGTAATAAGAAACAAACTACACGTAACAAAAAATTATATAAGCAGACCTTCACTCAATAAACAATTTTTTTATTCATCATGTATATATATATATTTTTTTTTTGACCTACACAATCTTGAGTTTTATTTTGAGACGTTGCTTAACCCATAAGCAGTCGCGCGTGGGTAAAAATGACCCAAGCCGTACATTTTGTCAAATATCTTTTTTCGCTTAATCCCTATGGACTTCCGGTTTCATGAATTCCTTAATTATTCTTACCTGCGTCGACCCATACCAATTACCTGCACTTTATGCGAGTCGACAAATATGTATTTTTTTTTGTAATATTTTTTTGAAATTTTAAATGAAGTGATACTTTTTAAATTGGGTGGCGACATCTAGGAATAGTTTAGGCAACGACCATCCATGACGGCTTAAAATTCGGGTCAGAAAGAACAAAGGCGCCGACACGAGCTGTCCCTACTGATTGTTATCTATGCTGTGGTTATACACAAACCAGTCATTCGCAGTCTTATTAGTCACAGTGGTGGGGAGGATTCGAGTCTTATTGGACGCTATTGTATAGGGGGCGCCACGCCCATCGCTAGTTGACAGGGCAGTTTGGCACAGTTGTTTACATGTCATAGCATTAAGGTTATGTTTATAAAATTTAATAATACATTTTTTTTAAATATATTTGTGCCTTTTGTCACTGTCCTCTCATAATGAACAACTTGGTCATCCTTTGTTTCTTCTCAACATTTTTTATGCACGGTAAGTCAATAAAAAAAACTACCATCAGTACATGGGTGTGGTAATGTGTTAATTGCAGCTTCCGCCTTGTGGTGCTACCAATGCGTTTCGAATCAGCCAGGCTGTGGGACCCCTTTTAACTGGCTTTGGCATTGGACAAAAGTGTGTCCGGAAGACGATGATGTTTGTGTTAAAATAATTGAAGAAAAAAACGGTATGTTACAAGTTCAGGATAATAAATTATTGCTCTACACAAATGTATTTTTAGGAGAGACTGTAATAACTAGAGATTGTCTGAGTTCTTTGCAAGGCATCCGAACTGACATTCCTGCCGATCATTATGAAGGTTGTAGGCCAGCAGCTGTAGATGTGAGATTGGGGCATTATGTAAATAATAGCATTAAAGAGCTTGACATACATAGGTAGTGATAAAGATTTTGGTTGTACGTTTTTATTAATTTATTTGTTTGCAGAAATTATTATGATAAAACGACGTGGTGTTTCTGCTTTCTTGACCACCGATGTAATAGCGCATTGACGATATATCCGTCTATTGTTGTGGCTGTTGTCGCCACAAGTGTTATGATTTTAAACCTTTTATAATGTATCTGATTAAGTTTATGCTAAGTCCGTCCATTTTATAAAAAGTGTATTTTTTTATTTTATTTTGTTGACAATTAATTTTACTGATTTTTAAATGAATCGAATCAGAGATCTGTGGTTGATATTTTTTTTTACATTTTTTGAATAAAAAAATGAAACATTCGTGTATATAATCTGTACTCACAAAGATATTTACCTGTGTTATGAAATAACGACTAATATCAAACTGATGGCGATAAGAATAGTTCTAATTGAAACAGTTGTATGCATTTGCATTCTATAGCTTCATTGTATACCAGAAAATAGGAAAGAACACTACAACAGTACAATACCTAATAAAATTTTAATGGTATTTCAAAGTTAACCATAAAGTTTGGACCCACAAAACCATAAATCATAAATTCAATGCAACTCTGGATGTGTCTAACCCACTATACACTGGTGGCACGCTCCTTTTATTGGCGTCATTATCCCCCTGCATTGTCCTACAATCCCTCAAACTAGTAGTTGTAAAATTTTACTAGGTACTGTTGTAGTGTTCTTTCTTTATATGTATAATATCTGGATTATTCAATGTGACTGAATAGGTATACACCGGTGATCAGACGACTTACCTGTTTTGTTTTGACGAAATACCATTCATTCAGGTTTTCAATATAACGGTGATCAAAAAGTTTTCAGATTAGAGTTGACAATGGAAATATTTGTCATGTCTTTGATTAAACTGTAAAAGTAATGCGTCACCTTTATTAAAGGTGTTTACAGTAATCAAAGACATGACAAATATTTCCATAGCCAACTCTATTCTGAAAACTTTTTGATCATCCTTTATATTGTTACACAAAAGAACATTGACATTTCACAAACGGTTTTAAATTTCGCCTGTGACTCGCTTACACTGAAGTGGAATTAGAAGTCATAATAAAATTACCCACATATACAGAGTGTTCTCATCAGTCCTCAGTGTGACGATTGTTAGTTTTCGTGCAAACTTTTTAAATTTATTAGTTTAAACATGTAGCGGTTATAACTGAATAACTTATAACTGAATAAAATCATTCAAAGGAGAGCGCTACAATATTTTACAAAAAAATTGCAAGGACTGTGCATCGTATAATACACTTTCTACAGGGACGTCGTAATGGGGGGGGGGGAGAAGGTTATGGTAGGGTAACACTCCTCCAAAACTTTGAAGTTTTCAAAAGTTGCCAAAATGAAAATAGTGGTTGAATCATCCGATTGTCTACATTAAAAAACTAATTGCTACGAAAAAAACTATCGGAAAACATGTTTCGCACTTTTTAATGAAAAATACGCATAATGTACAAAATGAAACTAATGAAACTGTTAATTGAACAGATGGAAATGCCAAAATTGAATGTTGATGGGAGAAAAGTTTTAGAAACTACAGAAGACTAGATAAATGACCATGAAGCTATTAAGAGGTTTTGTATTAATTTAGACGTAAACCAACCCAAAAAGCCTTGACCATGCCATGACCAATGACTTTAAAAATAAAAACGAAGAGAAATGAAATTACAAATTATTTTTATTTGAATTACACCGTGTTTTAAATAAAGGGCGACTGTGATTAAACCACGTAAAACATGATAGGATAGAGAGCTAATGTTTACCTAATACAACAAGCTTACTTATATTAATCACAGCCTCTCTTTATCTGAAAACGTTTGAAACATATAGGGTTGTGGCTGGTTGTGGTGTCCTGAATTTGAAATTTCAATTTCCCGCTTAGAGAGAAAAAAACACCGAAAAAACTGCCATTACATGGAAAATGTTCCTATAAAACATAATATCGTTGGAGTTCCCCACTTTGCCTTTGTCCGTATCACGGTGGGTCCGTATTGTGCCACACACACAACACAACGTAGGATTCCATTTTCGCGGGAAATTTGGATTATCGCAGCGTTTTATAAATTCTCATGTTTGCAAACACTCAGTGAGTTTCATTCAGCAACAGTTACGGCATATACTCATCAGTCATCAACAGAGTTAAGTACAGCCGAAGTGACGGGGAATCAATCAGACAAATATTAAATGCGACAGCGCAAGGTCAGGCGATAAATTTGGCTGGTCGACTGTGCAGTCTCAACCTCAGTGGCGTTTGATGCAATTCAGGGCTTATCTGATCAAGATCATTGTGATGTTGAACAATCATTTTTAATTTTTAAAGCATTTTAACATCTAGGAGAACTCGTATAACTGAGGAAAACCTTGAAAAAATAGTAATTATTATTAAGAATTCCCGAAGATGTAGGCCACGACTGCAATAGCGCTGGCGATCGGACGGCAATGAGCATCACTTCCGAAGTCTGGTCATCACAATTCATAATACAGCTTTACACCATTACTGCTATAAAAAATATTAATTGATTACTATAATAATTCGGGAGTTTTAAAAAATGTCGTTACTATTCAAAAAAAAATCTTCTAGCGGTTTTTCAATCCCCTTGGAAAAAAATGAAAAGAAAAAATTGCACCATCAAATAAAATTAATGAATATGTTTTATTACTAAAAGAATTACAGACTAGGTTATTTAAGCAATCATAACTGTAATGATTGTATAAAAATATTGCTACAATTTATTATCTTTTAATAAATATTTGAATTATTTCGGACGGACTAGATAAAAGCCATCAATACTTCTTTAAAAAGTAGACAGCAAAGTACACTTATTAAAACTTGTAAGTATCTATTTCTTTACAAAACCTCTCCAACTTTGCTTTCCTATTTAATTTGGTCTAGTAGGACCGTAAGACTAATTCAAATGTTCGTTTAAAAAGATCACTCTATTCTTTTTCGAGTTCATAATATTCGAAAGACATATCATCATAAAAACTACCATCATTAATCACTTCGCCTTCTGTTAAATTCAATCCAAGTGCGTTTGGATTTAAATCAGTGATGAGAAAATCACTTCCCAGTCCACATTCTTGCACAATTTGTTGTTTGGACACTGGAGGAGAAAGGAAATCTGTAGAATAAAATCGATAATGAACATAATTATTGACGGTAACTTACGAGAGTTATGGTATTTTACACATACCTAGTAAAACTTGGCATGCAATAAAATGAAAGTCAAAACTTTTGTTAGTATGAAGAACAGGAAAATACTCAACGAAGCCAAATATCTCATCTGGATTCATTGAACACATTTGTGAATATACGTCTCAAACACGACAAGTGTACAATCAGATATAAAAGAGTTAGAAGATGCAATGCTACACCGCACAAGTCCTTACCTTCCAATCCATCTTGTATATCAACAACGTTAATGAATTCCACCTCAATATTTTGCTTTTTTTCGCTACCGTCGTCCTGAAACTTCTAATAGAAACATGTGTTTAAAATAAATAACAAATTTAAAATTACGTTTTGTTCAAACTCGTTGAACGTCTCGCCCAAGATGCTGGCAGTTGCTGCTTGCAGTTCCATATCTAAAGCTTCTTCTTCGGGAGATTTATTTTCTTTGTAAGTCGCCTGAATGAATTGTTGCATTCTCTGTTTCTTCTAGTGCAAAATATATAAGTTTTTGATTTTATTACGCGCTGACGTACCTACGATTTGCCATGTTTTTTTGTCGTCTTTTTGAGCAATAGTCCATAAATGTCCTGCTCCATGCACTGCTTTACTGCCTTTCCTAAAGTGAGGATTGATGGAAAGGTTGTGCCGGACGGAATTCTTCCAACGATCGTCATTTTGTTTGTAGAAAGGAAAGTGTTCCCTAAAAATTTTTCTGTGTTACTGTTAAATTCAAACAATTTCTGTATCATCAGCTACTCAATGACACTGATCAGAAAATATACCGAATGTTCCAGTTTACTTATTGCAGTTTGAAAACTTTTTCTTCTTAAAAAAAGAGTCAGTTTTTAAGTGCGCTAAATATAACATGTTTTATTTTTCACATGACATATTCGTATTTCCTCATCGTGGTTTACTAGTTTTTCTCGTAGAAATTTGAAGATATGAAGCTCGAAACTTGGATCAATTAACTGATATTTAAAACAATCTGTAAAATGACTGTACCATTCACATGCTGATTTTGCAGCAAATGATATCAAACTTTTATATTTCAAATGAAAAGAGTTACCTTTTGTAAGGTAGCAATTTTTTTTATCAGTGCTTTAATACCTTTGTGATATGTAGCTTGTTTATCAAAATGCCTTCGAGAAAGAAAAAAATTAATAAGACGACACTGCATACTTCACTTTGCTTTAATTTTTACAAACTCAGCGGAGAAATTTATTATTATTATTATTAATTTTCGCATGTATTTTTCACATTAATTTGTCTTCCTAAAACATCAACAGTTGTTTGTTATTTGCGGCCGTCTATCCTTAAACATTCCATTCATTGTTTTAAAGATCTTAATAACCTCATAAATATTTCACTAAATGTAGGGAAGGCACGGAATTTGTTTGGCTGGAAAATTTTGTTCATTTAATGTTATTAATTTCTTCTATTTCTTTAACATTCTTGAAATATAAGAATCATATTCAGTTGAAAATCTTTGGTATGCTATTATTTTGCACTATTTCCTGGTAGGTTATAATTGATGTTAAAATTCAACGAGAATGAAAGAAACATCGATTGTTATTATTTTTAAAATTTCTGTAAACCATTTTAAAACACTTAAATAAAACGTCATATCCCTGAAGAGATCCCATTCCATTTATAAAAAAATTAATGTTATGTCCGGAAATTCCGGCAACTGTAGTTGTTAATGTTAGAATTTGTGCTGTAATTGGAACTGTTGGGCAAATAAATATATTAATTAATTAATTAATTAATTAATTAATTAATTAATTAATTATCTGTATGTAATTTTGCTTTCTTCTCTTTTTTTGCTTAATTACTAACTTTCAAAAGTTTGTTTTTTGAAATAATTGAAATATTACAGTAAAATAAGTAAATTAAGATGTTGTAATAGTTAGCATTTAGCAAATAAATTTTTATCAAGTATTAACCACTGAAAAATTAAAAAATCATTTTCTTCAACGAATCTGTAAAACACCACATTTTGTTTGAAAAAATGAATTTGAAGTAATTTTCTACCATAAATTTTTTGTGTTAATTTGCCTTTCCAAATTTTATAATTCTAACTTTTCACATAACTGAGAGATTGATGAATGTAGTATGATTGTAAAGTACTTTAAAAATATCTAAAAGTGTTAAACCAAAGAATTACATATCAAATGTTATACATTTTTTCTTTATCTACAGGTGTCCCAGTTAAACATCAAGGACTTTATATCTTGAGAACGGATACTGTTATTGAAATTTTGTATACGCCGTTGTTTTTTGCTTGAAGGAGGAATGCACTATTTGTACACTGCAAATAGTGCATTCGGAATTTGTATAGGTACTAATAATAAAATTACTAATTGATAAACAACACGCATAGACTCATAATTTATATTTTGCTCAATTTTGAGATGACGTCAAAAATTTTGAAAGTAGGGGAATAAACGGATAAATTTTGATTAACTATTTTCCATGTTGATATTTGAATACCTGTAGATATTTCTGTCATGAAATGCCCAGCTAACTGTTCCGACTTAAATCCCACTGAGCACTTTTGGGATCAGATTATAAAGCCAAGGAAAAGTCGTACACCCACCTACCACGCATAATCAATTGCTAAATGCAGTGATTGAAAATTTAGAAAACACTCCTAAAGAAAGGAACATGTATTTTTTATACTATCTTTTGTAATTTGAGCTTTTTATGCCATTTTTGAGAAAAAAATGCTTTACGGTTTTTTGTGATAGTTTGATAGTTGATAAAACTTTAATTGAAAAATGAAAATTTATTTAGTTGCCTCTTATTTTATCCAAATTCTATCACATAAATTGTTTTGCATCACTGCAAGAGTTATAAACGCACCCAAGTCTATGACGCTGAGTTCGTTTATATATAGATCTATTAAGATATATAAATGACGTCATACTACAAAATATAAATTGTCATTGTTATCTTTTAGACCATGGCCAATTGGGAAAGTGTAAGAAATGAAAATTTGCTGGACATAAGAAGTTTCATTGATTTTTTCGACAGAAGACATTTATTTAGATCGAGATCTTATGGAATGAGCGGATCATTTTCTCAAATTTGTCAAAATTTTAATCACAATTTTACACTGCTTTACAAGAAGCTATATTCAGTGGCTCACAATATTTTTAACATAAAAGAATGCTTAATAATTGAGGAAAACCATTTGCAAAATATGGAACTGCGGATAATCAGATTTCTGTGGGATATATTTATTTCCTCTGCCAGCCAAGAAATTGTTATTAAAACGATCCAATGAAAACTTAGTACCAATTTTCGATTTGAAGAAAAATTAATACATTGTATTTTTGTAAAAATTAGAAATAAATCTAAACCTTTTTTCAAAAATTTTAAATTAAAATTATAAAGAACTGTATACTTTAATATAAAAAATGTTCCCGAAGTTTTAGGACAAAATGTGAACAAAGAAAAGGATCAATATCCAAACAGTATTCTATCAAAGTTTTCTAGAATAACTCTTGTCATAAACAAAACCAAAATCTTTTGTTTCTATTTTATTTAAAAGTTCTTTAATTTTAGTATCTCTATTAGTTAGTTATTTAGTACTATATTGTGTACTAATTTTATAGTCTTTGTTTTGTAATATGTACTACATTATTACACGTAGCCGTACGCTTCTTCTGGAAGGATCGTGAACGTCGCCTTCCAGGTTGTTCTGGAGTCCACCGTCGAGACTTCCCGCTACTTTCGGTGGATCTCTTCCGGGCTTTTGTTTATTCGAGCGTCGCCGTCACCAATGATAAGTCACCGCATCGTACATACTAGAAACCCATAGGTGTCGTACCTGGGCGATGTATGGGTTACTTCGTGACAGTATTTACGGGTATTAAAATCGTGGTAAAACTCGACTGATACTCATTAATCGTCTAGGCTGGATTATATTAGATTAACTTGCTCTAGAAATTTCGCGATCGAAATTGTTCTGGAGTGCCCATTTCAGGCTTTTCTTTATGCGAACGAACGTCGCCGTCACCGGCGATGAATCACCAATGATCGCGGCAATGTACCTACTAGAAAACCCATAGGCGTCGTACGGGGGTGTAGAATGGGTTACTTCGTAACAGTATATTATTGTAAGTAAAACATCTTTGGCTACAATAAGGATCTTTTGAAAATGGCTTCATATCCAAGTATTTACATTTCTATTGATCTCCGTCTAACAATCCATAGTGAAGATATTGATTTTAAAAAAATTTTAAACAAATTTTTAAAACTGGTAGTCAATGAAATTATAACATCTGGTGACTATGTATGTATGAGGAGCATATTGTTGTTCACAACAAAGCTTTAGATAAGCTACTCTCTTGTGTTGTATTGTTCTGCCCAAATTTATCGCGATTGTTTAAGTTAAATAGCTAGATGTGCGTAACCGATTGCACGAATGCAGCTTTAAAATATGTGTAAGATTGGATATGCGGAAGAAAAAACAATCACTTCCAGCAAGCAACTGCCTACCAAGGAGATTTAAAACATTTTCCTTTAACCTCCCCTTCAAACAAATACATCCGTGTGGTTTTACGCATTTTCTTGATAGAAAAAAACTGCTGACGTTCGAGAAACAACCTAATAAAAGTGCTATATACAGGCATCTTATTCTTGCATGCTCGTCGTAGTATTCTGAGTTCTGACACACATAAATAGAGTTCAGTTTCGCTAAGAAGATGCCACTTTTGATCGCCGGTTACGTGTGCCAGGTACGGGTGTATACCGGACCTGTAGAAGGCACGTGTATAGTAAAATACCTGGAAACAATGAATACAAAATCCTGCTCTTAATGGGAACGGACTACAGGACATGAACAGGACACCTGTGATCAACCGACCGTATCCTTCAACACAGGACGTGATAATAGTTTCACAATTATAATAATTGCTACATATTGATCGTCCATGATCAGGGGAAGGTTTAATTTATTCGTGGCTATAAAACCCCCAAATAAAGGGGTTCTACGATTAGGTCAACACCTTGCGCTTTGTTCTGCATGCTATGTTTTTATTGCGGTAATGCAGAGTGCAGAGTTTCCCGCAATTTTATCTCAGCTCCAGCTGGATCTAGTGACTAAAGAAACGACTCCAAAAAGGTGTTAAATTAATTTAGATAAGCAGAAGAAGTAAGTATGTATGTGTTAATGTAATTGTTGTTTTTATAAAACTGGTATACCTAACCATTAAAAATTATATCTGGAATAAATTCATTATTATTTATTATTATTATTATTATCGGGAAGAGGGAAATCCCTGTTATGCCCGCGTACAACAAAATATAACAATTATATGAAGTTTCACGTAATCAATGGTTAGAGATCCATTTATCGTCGTCACACATATACTTCTCAAAATTAATTTTGAAACTTAACAGAGACGGGCTTAATGACTCTATAAGTCAAAAAATATTGTCGCGTTAAGGATCGAAAAGAGTTTTTCTTTAGCTTATAACGGTGTCCTCGCGTTTTTGTTCCAACATTTAAAGCGTAGATATGGTTAATAGGAGATCCTATGTTAGTTAGTGCTAAAAATGTTGTTATAATATCACCTCTGAGCTGGCGGTATGCAACTGTTGGTAAATTCAGCAGTGAAAGTCTTTGCTCAAAGGAGGGTCTCCTAATACCAAAGGGTATACGTGTAATACGCCGTTGAACGCCTTCTAAAAGGT